AGACTACCTTGTAAACCCTATGTACTCTCTCACATTTTGTTAATTCACTGATAACCTCTTATTTTCCAATATTTTTCTTATCATTTATTTATTGGTTATCTCTCCCCATAAATATGTACACTCCCTCACAGCAGGATCTTGTCTAGCTTTCTCCTGTATTCCCAGTTCCTGGTATAGTGCCTGGCCCACAGTATGTGCTTAAATACTTCCTAAGACTATGCATATTGTAAATTAGTCAACCCAGTTTTATTTTCTAATTTTTGCCATTATAGACTTATAGTTTTAACAACATGTCTAAAATGAAAGAAAGGTTTTTAAGAGAAAGCAATAGAAGCCAATGAGTATGGATGCTGAAAAAATATACAAATAATTTTTTGCTCTAGATTTGTCTCTAATGATCACACAATCTCTGAGTGATAATTTCTGTGTAGAAAAAGTATTAGAGGACTTCTGAGAAAATTAATATGTTAACTTTATACTTTATTTGTAAAGTGCATCAGTTTTATTTACTAAGTGGTTTATAAACACATTTTAATTGGATTAACAAAGGAATCCCTAACATAAATGAATGCAAAAATGTAAAAATTAAACTTACACTCAACATAATGCTAATTAATGCAATAGATCCTTTTCTTAATCTGCTTTACTGACCTTCTTGTCAACTAAGAATAATTTACTATGATGCAGTATTAAAGGCACATTTAAAAGTTATACCCAAAACACTAGGAAGATTAGATAAAAGAGAATATGATATCATGAAAATAAGTTAAGTAGCTATTCTTCATAAATCGTCCTGAATAACATCAAACATCATAAATTCTTCAGAATAATATCACACAAACTTTATTAATGGTAAAGTAATGAATTGATTTTTGAGTCATGTGAGTCATTATGAGTAAATTCTATTAGAATGTTTATACTGACATCCCACATTGATCTTGTGCTCAGTAGGGTTACTTGTATACACAGTAGGACAGAATGGATACCCAAAGAACTATTGATTTATCAAGGTTAGATTATATAAATTAGGTAAAACATTAATATTTAATATTATATAAGTCTAAATCATCATTTATACTTTTTATACAGTGATTATAAACTTAGTTCATGAAATGTTTAAAGTTAAATAAGAAATCTACTCCATTTTGACTTTTGCAAGAATTAATGCTCCAGTTCTCCAATTGAGAACATGTCTCACATAAAACCTACCTCTATACTTGAATTCCAAAACAATATGTACATGCAGCAACAGATATGAATGGATTTAAAAGATAATATAAGCATTAGCAATTTAGAGAGTAATGCCCAAGTGGCTACATCATTATCATTTGTTTGGGTAATAAATGGATATACTCATAATTTTTCCATCATTATTAGTTAAATTATGCTTGTCAGAGTAACCCTAAATGACATTTCCCCTTTTCAATTATCTTTCACACTCATATCAATTATTCAAACAGCTCCTTCACAGCACTTAGCTAGCTCTTCCACCAACCTTCCCAGGTGTTTCACTTTTTGCCTATTTATTGAAGCTATGCATTTTTATTTATAAGTGCACTTATCATGCAGTTACATTTTTAAAAAAAACCTTTCATTAAAAAAAAACCCTTCAAATAGATTGGTCCCATTTTGACTCTGGTTATTATTTCCATTTGGTTCTCATTTCCACTGTGCAGCTACCTCTTCCAAAACATCTCTCAGATACATCCTTTGTAAGAGATCTAATGCACCTGCCAGGCTTTACTTACTCACCCTAAACCACCCACAGTGTACTTACATTTGTTTTATACAGTTGCATCAGGATACCATAAACACATTTTTCCTGTCCTGACCACTGAAGTTTTCTAGCTCCAAATGTCCTTGCCTTTTCAGTACAGAATAGTGTAAAAGTGTCCGTGAGGGATCTCATTCATGTAGGGAAGCGTACATTTTTTCACAAACTCTGCAGGTATAGGGATAGGCTGCTGAGAGTGAGGCCAGTCCTCAGAGTCAAGGTAACAAGCACCCTTGTTAGCTTGTGCCCACTTATGGGCAGGATAATTATTTTTTCCCTGTTACCAACATTCAGCAACTTATACATTTGAGTCACATAGAAGCCTACAGAGAACTAAATACTGAGTGTAGTAGACTGTGACTGGCCTCAAATATTACAGAACTCCTTCTATCAGGAGGTGGGATCTATTACTGCTCATTTGAAACTGGTCGGACTTGTGACTTACTTTGACCAATGGAACATGATGGATGTGTTATTGGTCAAGAGTTAAGCCTAAACTTCAAAAGGCCTGGCATCTTCCACTCTTGTTTCTGGGAATGCCATTGTGACATGAAGAACCCGAGCTAGCCCACTGAGGATGTGAGACCTTGTGGAGAGGGGTAAGTCCAGCTGGTCCGGCTAGTCCATTCAAGGCCCTGGACGTGTAAGTGGGCCCAGCCAGCACCACGTGGAATGGGAATGAGGCAGCCCAGCTGAGTGCAGCCTAGACTGCTGACACACAGAATCATGAGCATTGTTTCAAATTGCTGAAAACTATACTAGGAACAACCTGAGAGCCTAAAATTGGGTTTTATTTAAATTAATTACAGTATTGAGAAGATACACAGCTCTATCCTTGACTAGCTTGTGACCTTGGACAAATTTTAAAATTTCTTTCCTTATGAAATGACCATTATAGCCTTACAGAATTGTTCTGGGGATATAATAAGTTAAAAGTCTTAAACCAGTTCCTAGCACATAATAAATATCCAAGTTGTTATTATTTATACATAGCTATGAAAATTATGTTAGAAAAAATTTAGTAGTACTGGGGCAGGTTGATGATAATGTCAGGTTTTTAAAAACATACTACAAAGTCATAGATATAATTATAAATCTTCATTTACAAAAATGCCAATGTATATGTAGGTGTAGGAATAGAACAACATCCTCCCAGGGATGGTCTCTTAGTAGCAGGAATATGAGAGATTTTTATTTTCTTCATTGCTTTTCTGCATTTTCAAAATTTTATATAATAAAAATGTATTGGCTTTGTAATCAGGAAAAATATGATTTCCAAATAATTAAATATTATATCCTTAGAATAGCTAATTAATATTTCCCTGATCCTTAAAAGCATTAAGGGAGCTCTTTCTTGGAAACAGTCCCAAGCTTTGTGCCTAGTACTATGCTATTAGTTCTCTTCTTGTTTTAGCCAAGTAGAGAAAAAGATATGGAGAGTCAGAAAAAATACCACATTAACCTGGATGATCTAAATACTGGAAAGAAAAATTACGGTATCTCTTTGGTTCTAAAATGCCTCAGGGTGTCACTCTTACTTTTCTGTTTGGAATACTATCTCCATCCCCACACCCTTGGTCTTTATTTAACCAACTCCTGTTTATCTCAGCTTAAACGTCTTTTCCTCAGAGAGGCTTTCCCTCGTTTCCCCAATCATTATTTTGGTTTTCCAAGTCTAAATTGGGTTCCTCTTGTAATTCCCCTTTACAATATCCAGTAATTCACAAAAATTACTACACAGTACTGAGTTTTCTCTTTGCTTTTGCCTTCTACATGACTGCAAAGGAAAAAGCAATTGAGACAGTTAACTTCAAATTAGAGCTTCCCTTTGTGCCTTTAAAATATGTAAGGAAGTGGAAAGTCAGGGTCTGTATGCATATGTAGAAAATGTTTACTGTGCATTTTGCTTTCTTAAAAGCCAAAAAGTGAAAAATCACCACTCTCAAATACATATCCTGTAAAAATAATTTGAAGAACTGTTTTAAAGATAGTAATAGGTTATGCCAGAACATCCAAGAACTAATTTGATAAACTCACTATAATTCTGAGGGAAAAATCATATTAGCCACTAGCACAGTTTGCTAGAGTAGAGAAAAATTTCTCATAGGGAATATTTATTTAAAAAACTTATTTGCATTTATATAATCTATTTAAGAGTGCATTAAGCAAGTTTAAGGAGTGATTGTCACATCATATCTGTATATTCGTGGTATTCTCTGGCTAATCAAGGTGAAGCTCAATATATATATAGGTCAAATCATTATTGAAAAATGATGTACATTAATATTATTTTTTTCCCAAAACTGTATTAAGAATGAAACAATTATGAATTATGCTCATTTGGGGGTTGCACACACATCAAAACAACTAATATTTAAGTAAAAGAATATTACTTAAAAATGTTCAGTACCCTTCAATTCACCTGGCAATGGATGCCAAGCTCCTACTTGGAGTAATCAGTTCTGTATAGAAGTAATGGTGCCTCCAGTAACCTTGAAAATCAGGTTACTCAAAGTGAAAACAGCAAGACTACTCAGCCATTGATGAAACCTACTCAAAGACATTGTCTCCAAATGTGTCTAAACATTTAGGAACACTCAAGTCCCATCAATGTCTTCAGAAAACATACATAAAAAAGATAACTACAGTCTAATTAATTGCTGAATGAGGTCTTCAAGAAGCACGAGGAGGACTGTCGTCTGCGTGAATTCCTGAGAGGGAAGCCCAAAGCACGCAGTTTCTAAGCCCCATGAATTAAGTGATTTTTTACTGTGTTTATGTAGCTCACACGTCAAGAACAAAATGATTAAGTAGTAATCACCTATAGATGTTTAGTGCTGTCATATGAAATGTGTCTCAAGGAGACTCCATTTAGCATTTGACTGCTCACTGGACTGCTGAGGGTGGCAGAGAAAATGTAGCAGCCAAAGAAAACTCATACACAAAGTACTCAGTTTGGAGAGGAAGGGAGTTTCAATATCACAAAACCAGGTATAGAGTACTTTAGAGAACATGCTGAAGGAAAGCAAAAGCTGTAGAAAACAAAGTCTCCAATTCAACAAATATGTAAGCAAAATATAAGACCAAGTTACAAACAGCTGGACTCTAGGCTAAGTCCCACCTGTAGGTGTTTGGTTAATACAGTTTGAGAATAATAAAAAAGAGAGTTAGTTGAAAATATTTAAATGAAAAGATTTCACATGAAAATTTGCATTTCCTGCTTTACCTGAGAAACTGGACAATGTGGTAACACTAGGTCAACATTCCTGCCTTGCAACAATCATCTGGAACGGGGCTGCAACAATTATCTGGAACAGAGCAGTGGCTGCTGCTCCTTCAGAAAGGACTTGACTCTCCAGTTCACTGAAGTGGCTTCCTGCTTCATTCCCACCAGCCTGGCCTCTGTAGGCACTTGGGTTTCCAACCTCTGGAATAGAAAGGACCTTGAGATAAGTCTTGAGGGATTCACTATAGCCCTCGACAAGAGGTACAACATTTTTTTTTTAATGGCCACTTAACCACACTTCATAGTTTCTTCACGAGGGTGGAAGATGACCTCTGAGTGGATCATCATGTATTATTAATGTGAAGGAGTACCAGGAAGCCAGCTAAAACCACAAGTACAGTTAACTTTCTTAATGAAACTGAGTTGACCCTGAGACTGTTGTGATGCTTGAGTTAGAGGAGGTAACTCCTCTGTCTTACTATCATTAGCAATACCATGTTACCTTATCTTGGAAACTTGTCTTGGAATCACTGAGTTATGGAATCAAATTGTACATTACCATGATTGAGTTATAAAATGCCACTTTTTTCTGACTTTTAAAATTGTTTTCTTTTAGCAAATAAGAAAAGAAATATTACAAGGATTTTCAAACATGTACTTGAGACCTTATTATCCCATATTCTATTTTTCCCTAGCCATCATAGAGATATTGACAAAGTAGTTCCTCAGCCTGGGTAAAATAATACTTAGGATAGTCTAACTCATTTTGCTCTGTTTTTATGGTTATTGAACAACCTTCTGATTATTCAGTAGATTTCATAGGTGCTTTGATATCATTAAGTTAGTGACTTGGATATTAGGTATAAGCATTTCAGCCAATAAAAATAAACAAATAGGTCACCTGGCCTATAAATTAACTTCTTGTAAATGGGTGGTCTGTGCCGAACTTTAGATGGCCAACTACCCTTGAGAGCAATGGCAAATCACTTTTTTTTTTTATTTGGAAGAGTAAGGACCACACCCTGACCATAAATACTCCACAGGGTGCTCCTCCATCTTTGAGGGCTTTTCTGATAGCTTACATTTCTTTTCTTTTCGTTCTTTTGGGCTAGAGCAGGATAGGAGAATGTGTAGGGCGGGGTGTAGCAGCATGCTTGAGCATTGCTGTTCCTCAGAAAGTACCCAGGAGAGACAGAAGAACAACTAAGGGATGTGGGACCAAGATTAAATTACTGTTTCTATTATTCTGATACACTAAAGGAACTCCAGGCATTATATTTAATGTTTTAAGTATTTATTGGGCATCATCTACATATGAAGCACTGTGATGGATACCAGGAACCCTGACATAAAGAAAAGACAGTCACCACCTCAGGGAGCTTACTACCTGGGGTAGGAGTTGGGCAGTCAGGTAAACAGATAACTACAACAATGACTGATACTGACTAGGATGGGGCTAAGTATGGAGTGCTACATGAGTAGAAAAAAGAGCTAGTCTAAATCTTTTCTGATCTAAAAAGGATCAGGAAAGGGGAAGGCAGGGTACATGTAAGGATACATAGCAATTAGATAAGCAAAAATGGTTAGTAGGAGACCTGAAACTTTACTTAACCCATGTAAATGATCTTAGTCCCAAAAGATTAATATAGAAGATTTTACATTTCTGCCTGGTAATAACAATTCCAATATTATTTTTTATTGGTATCATTTTTAGCTGGTAAACAAGCATAAAAGTCTCATTTTGTCAGACCTTTTAGCCTTGAGATGTGATAAAATGATGAAGCATTAATGAATATTTTCCACAGGAAGATCTGGATGCCTGCCTGATGCCTGAAATAGAAAATGATGACCTGACATCTAGATAAGCAAATACTGTTTACTAGAAGAAATACTATCAAAGACCGATGAATCACTTCAACAAGAAAGACATATGAGATGTGACCATACTGTAAGACACGAAAGGACACTAAAAGAAGCAAGATATGGATAGGGAATCTTAAGTCTAATAAGTAGCTAAAAAACTTTTGGAAGTATATCCTTTAATGAAGGAGTCCATAGTGATGAAAATAAGATGACTTTTGTGCTAATGTTATTTTAGCCAAATGTATAAGTGGTATTAGTTGACATCCTATCATCTTCTGGGAACTGTGTTGGGCACTTTATACAGACAGATATTAACTCATTTAATCTTGTCACAATCCTGTAAGTAAGTCCTATTTTTTTACATAGTTGAAGAAACTGAAGTAAGAAAAATTAAATAACTTTATCTTCTGGTTTCTTCTCTGATTATTTATATCCTCTTCTCCCACTTTATTTTTTTCTCCTTAGTATATACATCACTATTGCATAGTACATATTGTTTCTCTGTATCCTATTACTGTCTTCTCTGACAAGAATGTAAGTTCTGTGAGCACATGGATATATTAATCATCATAACAAACAAAATCCCCGAAATTCTTTGCTTTGGGTTCAATAGCTCCTGAAGGCTGGATACATATCAAAACTTTTTTATTTCTCACACAAAGTGCATAACCTTACACATGCTGGAGCCAAAAATATCTGTTGAGTGAAGGATGAGCACAATTAATCAGTAAACATTGACTAAGCCCTTGCCATACTCAGCACTGCACCCATCACTGTAACATAGGGATGTACACAATACCATCAGTGTCCTCAAAGAACTTAACACTCAGGAACAGAAATAGGTAGAAGCATGAGGAATACCAAGGGTACATAATATGAAGTCCTCACATTTCATTACTTCCATCCTTCAATCATCTAACGACACCTAAAAATGCTTATTCAGCATCCTCCCAGGACTCCCTAGTATCCTGCTGCATAAAACTTTCTTGGAAATGCCAGAAACATTCACAACTCCATGTTTTGCTCGTGTTGTTCCCTGGGCATACGAACACTTCTGCTCACTTTCTAAAAGCAACCTTCCATTCTTTAACTAAACTCCAGGGTCAACACCTCTGTGAATCTCCCTCCAGCTTCCTGCTTAGCTTTTTATTCACTCCTCTCTCATGCTACAGTGCTGCTTACATGTATGTAACAACACTTAGCACACTCTGTTTTATATACATGCATTCCTTGTTTCATATACTTCTGTGTTTTTGGTTGTCAAACACATTACCAGGTGTATGGTATGTAAAAAGTATGCTTTGAGTGAAGTTATTAGTTTTTCTTACCTTTAAAAATACTAATGAACTTTTTTTACTCCCCTAAAAGGAAGTATATCCTTTAATGAAGGAGTCCATAGTGATGAAAATAAGATGACTTTTGTGCTAATGTTATTTTAGCCAAATGTATAAGTGGTATTAGTTGACATCCTATCATCTTCTGGGAACTGTGTTGGGCACTTTATACAGACAGATATTAACTCATTTAATCTTGTCACAATCCTGTAAGTAAGTCCTATTTTTTTACATAGTTGAAGAAACTGAAGTAAGAAAAATTAAATAACTTTATCTTCTGGTTTCTTCTCTGATTATTTATATCCTCTTCTCCCACTTTATTTTTTTCTCCTTAGTATATACATCACTATTGCATAGTACATATTGTTTCTCTGTATCCTATTACTGTCTTCTCTGACAAGAATGTAAGTTCTGTGAGCACATGGATATATTAATCATCATAACAAACAAAATCCCCGAAATTCTTTGCTTTGGGTTCAATAGCTCCTGAAGGCTGGATACATATCAAAACTTTTTTATTTCTCACACAAAGTGCATAACCTTACACATGCTGGAGCCAAAAATATCTGTTGAGTGAAGGATGAGCACAATTAATCAGTAAACATTGACTAAGCCCTTGCCATACTCAGCACTGCACCCATCACTGTAACATAGGGATGTACACAATACCATCAGTGTCCTCAAAGAACTTAACACTCAGGAACAGAAATAGGTAGAAGCATGAGGAATACCAAGGGTACATAATATGAAGTCCTCACATTTCATTACTTCCATCCTTCAATCATCTAACGACACCTAAAAATGCTTATTCAGCATCCTCCCAGGACTCCCTAGTATCCTGCTGCATAAAACTTTCTTGGAAATGCCAGAAACATTCACAACTCCATGTTTTGCTCGTGTTGTTCCCTGGGCATACGAACACTTCTGCTCACTTTCTAAAAGCAACCTTCCATTCTTTAACTAAACTCCAGGGTCAACACCTCTGTGAATCTCCCTCCAGCTTCCTGCTTAGCTTTTTATTCACTCCTCTCTCATGCTACAGTGCTGCTTACATGTATGTAACAACACTTAGCACACTCTGTTTTATATACATGCATTCCTTGTTTCATATACTTCTGTGTTTTTGGTTGTCAAACACATTACCAGGTGTATGGTATGTAAAAAGTATGCTTTGAGTGAAGTTATTAGTTTTTCTTACCTTTAAAAATACTAATGAACTTTTTTTACTCCCCTAAAATATAATCACAAATAGAAGTTTTTTTAATGATGTTAAAACCACTCAGTGCTACACAAGATGGCTAACTGCAGATATGTATTCAACTGAAACTGAATGGAGGCTGAATAGAATTTACTTTCCTTATTTTATTTTCAGCACAATATCTACATTTAGGGACTGTCTATTGTGTCTGGAAGAGTGCCTGGCACACAGAAAATTATTTGTTGAATAAGTAAATGAATGCCTGTATACAAACCATGGCATCAGATGATAAATGGCATGGCATAAACTAAATGTGCTATAGGAACTCAGAGATGAAGTAATGAATATTAGAAAGAACAGTGAACTAAGGGTTAGGAAGTTTGGTATCTACTGTTTTCTAGCCGTATAACTTTGGCAAGACACTTAGCCTGAACTTCAATTTTTTAATTAATAAAATTAAGGAATTGAACTAGATCAGTAATTTTCAATTATTTTAGTTGTAGATCTTTCTTGTCTAATAAAATCTGAATGGAAACTCCATCATATGAAATAGAAAAAGAGATTTGTTGCTAATAATTCATTTCATAAGGACAAATGATAATATTACATATTAAAATCCATCAGAAAGAATAATGGACTATTTTGGTTACTAGGAAGTATGAAATCAAGGGATATAAGTGACAGTTGCAATTTTAAATAATCTTAATCAACAAATCCATTTCTTTACATTGTTTTGCTTTAAAATATTGAGACAATTCTGATTACTACAAGAAAGCTATTGCAAACGGCATCTTTTTAAAAAATAG